CAGGGGGGCATGCTGGGAATGATCTTCTGAAACATCAAAACCTGTCCTTAGTGACACACCTCCTAAGATTTCCTAAACAATTCTACTAACTGGGAATGAAGTATTCAAATGTCCAAGACTTATGAATGACACATCTCATTCAAACCACTACAGAAGGATTGTCTCTTATCTGTCTCAAGTCCCTTTTACATTGGAAACAGCTAACATCAGATGCTAAAAGCTATGCAATGCAGAAATTGAGTATTGTCTTTGGAATATTAGTGTCAATAAACAGAGAGGAAATGTGTTGTGGGAATGGAATACATTAAACAGAAGTATGACCAATGGCAATTTAAGGAATAAGACCCCAAACCTTTGCTTCCTTTAGAATTGCCCTTCTCACCCACTTAGGAGGGTAGAAATTCTGAATTTGTTTAATATGCTGTGTTTCTTCTGCTTCTGATTGCATGCCATTAGTACTCAAATAGATAAGGCTATCTGAGAGTACCATCAAACAAGCAATGTAATCATACCAACAGTTCAGAGTAATATCACGAAGAACTTATTTATTTTAGATTTAAATTAAATAGTAATTATTGGCATATAACCTCATAATCAGCCACACTTCACAGTGGGAGCTGAGAGGATTTAAGGAGATACTTGGAGGTAGACTTGGTAACACTCAAATGAACTCTGAAATATCAAAAAATAAAGAAGGAACCATCCTTAAAGACGGCAGCTTAAGAGTGAAGTGGAACTTTGGAAAGACTAAAATTAACACATGGGTTATAGGAAATGGATGGACTCATGGATATTAACATTGGGAATATGGGGCCATGATTCTGTTGCCCTTGGATTTCGCTTAGTGTGAGGTCTTTAGAGCTTTACCAGGGATTGACTTGCTTTGGTCTTGGTCAGTTCTAGAGTGCTGGTCTTTTTTCACATCTTTTTATTTTTGCATTTGCATCAGTAAGCCTAGAAATTAATCCACTTAGTGCTCTCCCTTCCTTCCTCCCTCCATGTTTCTCATCCTCTGTGTCCTCCTCCATACTTTGTCTACCATCTAATTATACTGGCTGTGCCAACTTGCTGTTGTTATTATTCTGTGTGATTTCTGTTATCTGGAAATGTTCCTTTTTTTTAATGTAAGAGTTTTCATCTCCCATTCAGCTGAAGGCATCTAAAGACAAAAAATATGGTATATGTTTTTTTTCTTTGTCCTTCATAGCATGTTGCCTCTAACACAAAGTTCAGGACACATCAAATACCTGGTATTTGTTTGGATTATATATTGATGAGACGTTATGTGTACCTTCTATGTGTAAAGTAAGCCTACCTATTTTCTCAATATCCATTTCCGTGTATGAGAAGCACTATTTGGAAGGTCTTCAGAAGGACTTGGGCAGCGTGTCTACTTAGCAGCTTTTTTTTCCAATCCCCAAGACAAGTCGGCCTTCCCAGCAAGAGTCTGCTTGTCTGTCTCTCAAGCACCAGGATTGCCAGGGCTAGCCACTAGGATAGCCAGTGCTAGCCACCATGCCTCCAACTTTTAGTTGGGTCCTGGGGATTGAACTCAGGTGCTTGTGCTGGCAAAGCAAGTACTTTCCTGACTGAGTCATCCCTCTAGCCCACTCTGTTTTCTGGCTTACATTTTTGTGGTCACAGCCTGGAAGTAACACTGCTACATCATAAGAATTTCCACAGTTTTCTGAGCTGGTTGTACCAGTTTGCCATTGTCACTACTATGTATGGTTCTTATTGTCACCCAGGTTTTCATTTTGTTTTTTCCTTTTAGGGGAAGTGCAATCTGATTGGAAGATAGTAATTACCTTTTAGATTCACTTAGTGTTCCTTAGTAATTTATGAAACTGAAAAACTTACCGTGTGTTTATGAATCTTGAACACTGTTGAGAATAGATTTTTCAGCCCATTTCACACTGGCTACGTCAGAATGCATATGGATTTGTCTTTAAATAGTCTGCCATTACCAAATAAGTTACTGAGCATAAATTTAGAATAGGTGTGTAGGCAACCATGGTAGCTGAAACAAACCAACAGAACCAACTGATATTTCCAATTAGATATGAAAAATGCCAAGGTCTCCCTCTCTCCTTCTTTCCTTTCTCCCCTCCTCCATTCCTACCCTTTTCTCTCTTGCCTGTCTTCCTTCTCTCTCTTCATCCTGCTTTCTCTTTCTTCTTCCACCTTACCACTTTCCCCTTCTCCCTTTCTGTTGGAATTCTGCCTTCACTCCAGCTACATGACTGCACATGCGCAGTTCAAGGTCTTGCGTCTTACATGATCAGTGGGCGCTGACGACTACGTACGTGGCGTGGTTACACAATCTGTTCCTTAAAACCCGGACACAGACTCCACTCTTATCTCTGCTCTCTCTGCTCTGCTCCCCTCTCCCCAACCTCACCATCTTTCTCTCTCTCCAGGCCTGGCTCTCCTCTCTCCCCTCCCCCTCCTAATAAAGCTCTGAAAACTAACACTGGGTTCTGTCGTGACTGTGACTGTGACCTTTCCACGAGGTAAACAGCACTGCAACCAGCGCCATTTATCAGACCTTTCACTTTCCCCCCATTTTATTCTTTCCTTCTTCCGTCCCTACCCATTTTCTCCCCATTTCCTTGCCCCCTTCTTTCTATCTTCTTCCTATCTTGCTCTTCTCTACTTATTTGAGAGAAGTGAAAAATCTACGAAGGAGCCACTTAGCTATTAACTAACAACCACTCTCATTCTTCCGTAGACAGTCTATCAAAGGTGCTTACTATAGCTTTAATCTATTTCTAACTGATCCTGACTGTATACATTTGTGGGATACAAATGTGTGATGTGAGAGGTATAGGCATGATAAGAGGAGATTCTGGTCAAGCATATGAGATTTCATTAGGGAGCATATTTGCAATATGCTTCTGGAACTTGTTATATGCTGTGTGTTGGGAGACAATTTGCTGTAGTTTCTCATGTGTTTACCTAGGAGCAGAAGAGCAGAAACACTGGTTGGCTGTCATCGCTGTGGGTCTTTCTGAGGATGTTGTATAAAGATAGACACGGTGTTCTCCATTGGAGCAAGGAGTAGGTTGGTTTATAGACTGCTGTATCAATGTTTCTTCTATTACAAAGATCAAGCAGGTTTTCCATCCACTAAACAGATTCAGGGTCTCTGAGCCTGACTGCTCCTGCAGGGAAACCCAAAGACTGTGCAGGCACCATTGGTCCCTCTTATGGCACTCTCTGGGGATGGGACTTAGGAACTGTGGAAAGGATTGACACTTTGTTTCCTGCTCATGCTGTGTGAGTAGTGGACTATTTTGTTCATGGATGGGGAGGCTGCTAGTGACATCTTGGCATGCTTTCTTAAAAATGACATTGTGTATTTAATTGGATGCCTCCTACTTAGCATTAGGTAAAGTGTTGACTGAGTTCAATAACTTCGATGAACCATGGTAGAAAAGGTTCAGTTCCTTACAGAACAAGCACATGTAGGAAGCACATCACAAGTTGGTCAATGGGCTGAAGCATACACTGCTTTTGCAGAGAACCTAGTTAGGGTCTCAGCACTCAGTCAGGGGGCTCACAACTCCCTGCAACTCCAGTTCAAGGAATCTGACATCCTCTTTTGGCCTCTGTGTGTATCTGCAGACATAAGTATATGCCCTCACATGTATACACATAATTAAAAATAAAATAAAAAAATTGAAGTTAATTCAGTACACCTTTTCTACAGTAGTAAAAACCACCTGTTCTCATCATTTCATTTATCATCATTGACTAATTCTTGAAGCTTTACTTTGTGTGTATATTTAAATATTTCCCAGATAAAAAGTTCATGAGTACTTTGGAGATAATTGACTTTAATTATTTAGTACAATTTTAGGCTAAATATTATGAATGGGACTTCCAAATGATGGTGGCAAGGTTTAATGAGGTGTAATTACAGGTCCTTAGATATTTGTATGAGGAGAAAAGCTTATTGTACACCACGGAAGCATTTTATGTATGATGATGACTGACACAGCCCATTATGGAATTTGAATACGCTTAATTGTCCAAGAAAAATAATTGAAAATAATCCTTTAGATGTCAAAATGCAGTAATTTTTCATTTGACTCTGTCAGCTGTTATTTAATCTTTCCTCATTGTACACATGCTTTTTTGGTGGCTCATTAGTTATGTCACTAAGGAAAGATTTTTTTTAAACATTATTGAAGAAGAAACTTTTATTTCCAATATGTTGAAATGTGAATTACAGAATGAAATTGGCATTAAAACAATCTAAAGTTATCAGTATGACCCGAGTGCTCAGCTAATTGAAGGGCAAACTTGGAATAGGTGCAATGCTAATTTATCAGCTGTAGTATTGAAAATCTGTGTGAAGCTAGGGTGTACTTTGGGAAAGGTTTTTGAGAGTGTCATTCAGTTTACAACATGCCAATGACTCTAATAAAAATTTTACTATTAATGATCTTCGTGTACTTATAGCTAATTATACTTGGGAGGTACAGGGTCAAACTGAGATGTGTGGGTGGGAAAAGAGAAAACACTGGAAAAAGCATAGATGTATGTACATTTCTGAACTGTTGTATGCTTACTTCTGAGATTTAACACACAAAATAGTATTAAACCACTCACGAAATTCAGACTCTTTATCAACTAAAGCCTACCTATTTATTTACAAACAATGCTTCACTGTTGTGTGACTTCTTGGGGTGAGCCATAAAGACATTCAACCCTGATAGAGAGGACACTGCAGGAAGAAGAAAGGATTCCATTCACAACCAGCTTCCTCGCCCAGCTTGGGGAACCAGTGGGTTTATTGGACCAAAGTAGTCCTGATCTGCAGTTAATTTCCCTTCTCTTACTTACTCTAAGTATTCTCAAGACTACATTCCCCTGGGGGTAGAATTATGAACAGCTGGTCAGGCGAGAGTACGTCTGGAGTCCTGGATGAGAGTTGGTGAGAGAGAGACAGAGAGACAGAGATGGACAGAGAGGGAGGAGACAGCCAGACTTACCTTTCAGATCACATCTCCAAATGCTCTGCCTGCAATCTGCCTTTTGATGAGGGTTAAGTAGCAGACACTCAAGGTCACACTTTGCTGGTGAGAGCCTGGCACCCAGGTATCCCTTACAGTGACAAAAGAGGCTGTCTGTGTGCTTTGTAGTCAGCGGGGGGGGGGGGGGGGCGCGGGGGGGGCCACACACAACGAGGCTAGTGTGACATGGATAGACTGTGTGCTTTGTAGTCAGCGGGGGGGGGGGGGGGGGGGGGGGGGAGGCGAGGCTAGTGTGACATGGATAGACTGTGTGCTTTGTAGTCAGCGGGGGGGGGGGGGGGGGGGGGAGGCTAGTGTGACATGGAGAGAGCTCCTGTTGTTGTTTGCCTGCACAGGTGATGTTTAACTTTCTTATGGTGGAGGGGGAAGTGGATACAAATGCAGAACCAAATGAAAAGTGTGCAGATGTCCTGTAAAGTGACAGCTCGAAAATATCCCAGAACCAGGATGCCTTAATCTGCACTTTTAAACTCACCAGGGCTCCAAGTTATCTCTTGTTATCTGAGCCATTTGGATGAGGATGAGTCCGGAGTTCTCTACCTGGCTGCCTAGGACATTGTCTCTCTACCCTCTACTGACTGTGGACCGAGACTTGGAAAAGAAACTTGCCATCAGCACAGTGTCATTGTTCTGTTTTTCCTTTTGGGTCTTTTTACTTTTGTTTTATGACTAAGGGGATAGATTTATTTCTAAGGCAGCCCTTCTCATCTGCAGAGAAATATTCCTCACTGCCTTAGGCTCGTGGCCTCTCCCTCCCACTAACCCCTTTTGTATTCTCTGCCATCACTTCACACTTAAAGCTGCCTGAGACTTGAAGCTTCTTTCATGGTTGTTTGGATTCTAAAATACTCTTAGGAGCCTCCTGCTGCAAGCCCCCTGGGAGCTCAGACTTACTTCCACATGTCCCCAGGGCAAAGGAAAATGTAAAGAAGCTTCCTTTCTCTTCTCCAAATTCTGCTCCAAGATGGGAAGAATATTAATATTTGTCATTATAGGATACAGGTAATAAAAGATAAGTATTAGATAGAAACCTAACAAAAACCTAGAATTTAAATGGATGATGAGCCAATACATTGAATCTAAAACAATGAAAAATAGAAATCACTTAAGCAGATCAAGCTACACAACTGTCTCGCTTATGCAGAGGGCCTGCTATCCCTGGTGCATGAGCTGGCTTTTTGGAGCCTGTTACTTGTGATGGGACACCTTGCACAGCCTTGATGCAGGGGGAGGGGCTGTCCCAACTGAATGTACCAGGCTCTACTGACTCCCCATGGGAAGCCTTACCTTTTTGGAGGAGGGAATGGGGGGAGGGTTGGGGGGAAGGCTGGAGGGGCAGGAGGAGGGAAGAGAGGGAGACCTGTGTTTGGTATGTAAAATGAATAAAAAATTTCTTACAAAAAAAAGAAAAATAGAAATCACAATGATTCATTACCTTTTACTTTCTAAAATTACCTGGAGGCTCACTGGTAATAATACTTGCTGATCTTATAGGGGACTTGAGTTTGTTCCCAGCTTCCACAAGGAGTGGCTTGCAGCCCTATAGTTCCAGCTCTTATGTAGGCAACACCCTCTTCAGGCCTCCATGGGTATCTGCACCTATGTGGCATATATTCACAAGTATATATTCATATGCACACAAGAAAGAAGAAATCTTTAAATGATCGGGCTTCCAGCACTTACTCAGCCACCTTTTGATTCACATCTTCACTAATTAAACAAATCATTACTTTTAAATGCATTGTATGTGTGCAAGTTCCCATGTCAGCATGTGCACGTGTGTGTGTGTGTGTGTGTGTATGTATGTGTGTGTATGTATGTATGTGTGTGTGTGTGTGTGTATGTGTGTGTGTGTATGTATGTGTGTGTGTGTGTGTGTGTGTGTGTGTGTGTGTGTGTGTGTGTATGCGTGCATGTGCGCATGCCTCCCAGAAGCCATAAGAGGGCCTTGGTTTCCCTGGAGCTGGAGTTACAGGCAACTGAGAGCTGCTTGACCTGGGTGTTGGAGACAGAACATTCGTTTTCTGAGAGAGCAGTAAGTGCTCTTAACCACCTAGACATCTCTTCGGCCTTGATTTATATCTGTTTTTATACCACTTTCAGGTGAAAGAATAGACAGAAATTTGTCATTTTTTTCATGAACATATATATCTAAACAAAGAGATCACACTTTACTCCAGTAAAACTGGCTGCAAGTAGGTAGCTATCTGATAAAAATAGTGTCAATAATAATTATTAAGCAAACATAATGATGCATCTTATATATTAAGTTTTGAAATTATCCACAGAATTCATAAGAACCTTTAATTTATCACATTTATTAACTGTTGTGCAAAAAGTTAATGAATTAGAAGGTGGGCACAATACATAATAAATGTTAAAGGTCTTTTTTTATTTTCTGTTTAGAACCTTTCATGTTGGAGAGGTGGCTCAGTGGTTAAGAGTACTTGCTGCTCTCCTGGAGGACCTGTGTTCAGTTCCAAGCAAACACACCACGAGGCTCACAGCCACCTGTAATTCCAGCTCCAAGGAAGCTGATGACCTCTTTTGGCCTGTGCAGGCCTCCACACATGTGACATATACACAGAGAGAAACATACATGAATCAAATATAAAAGAAATAAATGTTTTAGTGTAAGGACAATGTTGCTACTGTGTGACCACCTTCTCTTCTCTTTGTTCCTTAGGGATGGGATTGTAGAGAAGTTAGTTGATTTCCAGGGGACTTTTTCTGCACAAATTTGAAAAATGGTTCTAATCTTCTATCAGATAATCCTTCTCTTCTTCACTGACACATTCTTGGGAAGGGAAGGGTGTAGGCATGCATTATAGCACAAAGCTGTAGGGCTTGCTTTGATTGGTTGTTGTCTAGACTTAGGGAAAGGAGATTGCTATATAGTTAGCCAAATGGCTGAAGCTAAAATAGTGTACTACTTGTTAAAAAACCCTGGACAGGGGAGAAGAGGTGCCTCGGCAGTTAAAAGCACTGGGTGCTCTTCCAGAGGACTCTCAACTGTTTGTGACTCCAGGGGATCTGACGACCTCTTTTGGCCTCTAGGCATCAGGCATGCATAAGGTGCACAGATACATATGCAGACAAAATACTCATGCAAATAAATAAAAATAAGCCTATCTGATAAAACTTCTTCCTCTGCTTTTATTTCTATATGAATTTATTTCTAGGGAGGATTTTGGAGAGAAGGATGAAATGGTTTGGAGAAAGCTGCATTATTCATGGGCCCTGGACACAAACCACATTAGTACCATACATTGCTAGTTCCTCGTTATAATGGATGTTGCTGGGTAGGAGGAGCTGTGTTGAAGCAAGAACAGCTATTAATGGGCATGGCCACTTATACTGCATGATTATACTGATCAAAGTTTCTCAATTATAACTATCAAAGGCAAAAACAGACTGCATGGTGACTAATTTTGTTCAGGCTTTTGTAAGGAGGCAAATAACTGAGATCAGACTGTCCAAATATCAGAGTGTCTCAGCAGGGTAGCTTTGCCTTAGATTTTCACAGGGAGGAGCAAACAAGCTACAGATAGGGTGATTCTGATTGGAGTTGCTTTGAGAGAAGAGAAAGCCTGTAGATGTAACCAACCGTCTTATTAAATAAGAAACACAGAACCAATGCAAAGAAGAAAGCCAAGAGATCAGAGATAAGAGCCTTATCCACCTGCTACAGCTAGCCCCTTCAGCCAAAAGACCTCTCCGAAAGAGACCTACTTCCTGTCTGTTTGTCTTTATATAGACTTTCTGTTCTGCCTTCTCATTGGTTGTAAAACCAACCACATGACTGCCTCGTCACTGTCTGTTGGCTGTATCCTTGAACACACAGAGATCTACCTAGCTCTGCCTACCAAATGCTGAGATTAAAGGCATGCACCACCAGTGCCCAGGTTTTGCTATGGTTCTAATAGCTCTGACCCCCGGGCAACTTTATTTATTAACATACAATTAAAATCACATTTCAGTACAAATAAAATACCACCATAGAAGCCTCAATCATTTATTTGAATAGGAATTTTTTTGTTTTTCTTCCATGTGCTTAACTGTCTTCAGGAGTCAAATCTATATAAACTCAGTGAAGCAATTATAAGAAGTACTTTTGTCTCTCAGTCATGGGGCCAAGTCTGGGAAACTGGAATGTCAATGTCAGGCCTTACCAGCAAAGGGAGAATTAGATCCTCTCCTCTCCTCTCCTCTCCTCTCCTCTCCTCTCCTCTCCTCTCCTCTCCTCTCCTCTCCTCTCCTCTTCCCTCTCTTCCCCTCCCCTTTTCATTTTAGACAACCACTGTTGGCTTCAGAGAAATGTTAAATATTAGAGTATTTTTAGTAAGTTTTGGGTCAATTCTTGGTGTTCTAGTCCAAACTTTGACTGGGTTCTTGATAGTTTTGTTCTTGAAACACAACATGAACCATCTATGCTGATCTGAAGATATTCTGGAACTTATATGGGGTTCTGGAGGCAAAGCATTTAATGAAGTGATGACTGGGAGAATACTAAGGAAAGTAGTTGTTAGAGGCTATCTTAAATAACAGTACCAGGACACAGCCAGTTGATTACCAGTCCAAAGGAGTGCAGGGATTGAGGTGTACTGGTTCTTTGATACTAGGATTGTATCATGGGTATGCCATTATGCCACATCATTTTATGGGAAGTATCTTCAATGTTCTTAAGAGTATTGAAGAGGTCAGAGAAATTTGGGGAAATAAATGTGGGGTAATGGTCTGAGCCCTGTATATGTCCTTCCCCTGGATGCCCAGATCTTTTGAAATGCTAAGTGAATATATAGCTCTAGAAGTTTCTGGAGTGGAAATATGTCGAGTCTTTACCATATTGTTCATAGTGATGTTTATCTCCTCTAGACAGCCAGGGGACATAGAGGAGCTTCACATCACTTCTTGTCTGGCCCATACTGCAGTATGTCATCTCAAGGCACAGTAGTGGTACACATGTGATTTGATGTAGACACCAAGCCCAAGCTCTTAGTTTCCTTTCTATAGAGTCTCAGATCCACAGAGAAAGGAAGACCGAAGCTCACAGTTTGATACAAGTCTTGGTATTTGGGAGGCAGTTTGGCAATGGGGGCATT